AGTGTCGTTAAGTGCTGTAAAGTACACATTTCATACTAACGAGGACACGATCGAAGGCCGAAGGATTGCCACCTCTCTGAACGTGACCCAGCACCGTGATCCTCGTGTCCTGCTGGAGCTTATCCACCACGACCTCGCGGACCTTCTCCGCAGTGATGGGATCGCCATTTCTGTCCACGGCACCTTCCGCCATAATAATGATGTTTAAACGTTGCCCGGTCAAACGTTCCTGCGTGAAAAAAAAAAAAAAAAAATTCATTCGCAATTGGTTAACGAATTCTAGTCATCCTTTCCGCCTGCTAAATACTGCACTCTTGCAGCACTATAAGCACTAGAAATGATGAAGGTGAAAAAGAAGAAGGAAAGAAGCAACTTCCACCCCATACGATTAATTTAATATCATTGGAAGGACGCGATCGTCGCGGCTCGTTCAACGCGACAATACATCCAGCGTGTCATCCGCGCGATATCATCCAAAGGAAAATGAAAATTTCGATTATTTATATCAAATTTATTTATTTCAAATGCACTGATTTCACAGGCTCGAGGATTTTGCCAATTGACGATGCTCGTAATTTTTACGATGCTAATGGCCGCGCGAGGAATGCCAAACGAATTGAAATTTAGCTTAATTAACGCACTCGTTACAAACGATGATACAAATGATTTACATTTGTGGACCATCACAAGGAACTAACGGGAACATATTCTTTACAATGTGTGAATGCAAAAGAATAGACAAGTCACCTTTATATTGCGCTACGATGCAATTTACAAAAGCCTTCTAAAAGGATTTGCGTGTCTTTATTTTAAAAGCTTCTCACGTATCATAATCGAAAACAATCCAATGGGCGTTCCGAACTTGAACGAATGGAAACGTAAGCGCACTTGTGATGTGCTACACTATGATTAACAAAAGAAAATTGAAAAGAAATTACGGAAACATGGAATAGAGGAAAAATTAAAAAAAATTAAAAAAAAAAGAAAGATACGAGCTACGACGAGTATAATATTGGCAACGTAGCCTCGGCAATCTACGTCTTGTAACTTAATGGCATATTTAAAAAGACATTGCAGTGTTTTAATGAAGGACGTGGGTGGATGGGGATGGGTTGGTGGGGGTGGGGGGGGGGGGTTGCCAGATAGTGATGGGTGTAATGGGGAAGTCGGGAAGATAGAGAAAG